AAAAAAAAAAAAAAAAAAAAAAAAAAAAAAAAAAGCCAAAGGCTTTTGCTTTTCAACACTTTATTATTTGGTGTTTGTTACTGAAACTATGGAGGCCGATCAGCCAACAGCTCACTCAGCCTGTACACCAACTTCATCTGGAAGCTAGGACTGGGATTGCAGTCCACTTCCTATTTTTTTATAGTTTACTTGCACTTTTTACAGAAAGCTTACACTCACGTGTAAGCAAAAGTGTAAGTCTAGAGTCAGTAAGAATGAGAAAAAGACTTAGCTGGTACTGGGTGTCTGATGAATTGTCATTGCTCACAACACAACTACATGGCCCATTGCTGCAAAGTCATCAGCAAATAGGAGCAAGCTGCGTTAGTTTCATGTGAATCATGACCCTATTTTAAAGTTATAACATTTTAAATTTTAAAGTATTTTAAAGTAATAACAAATATAAATATAATAAAGTAATTTTAAAGTAATAACATTAAATTCATTATATTCATTATATACTCATAAAATTACATTCATCATAAACTTAAAGGCTCAAACAAGTAACACAGAAGACACGACATGAAGCCACTTCGTGGTCTGACAGCATGCCTGGCCTATCACAGTCTGCAAAGTCTGTTAAAAATCGCCTCTTACAATATTGAGGGCACAGGGCCCTTTCCTCACCTCCCTTCCACTTCGGTGTGTCTCAGAAGCAGAACTCATTTAGGCGAACTAAGCCGTGTCAAGCCCTCCTCAGCAGGGTGCCCGGGATGCATCACCGTGTGAACACGCTACAGAAAAAAAGCAACACTGTCAGTATGTTTTCAAGGTTATTTTCTTGGGCACCTCTTAAAATGTTGGTGTGTAAAAGAGGCGCTGAGATAGCTTTAAGTTTTCATCCCCGGTGCTTCAGCCCCGCGATGCCTGCCCGAATGGGCGCCCTGATGCTCCCTTGTCCCCAGCTGCAGAGATGGAAACCCGGGGCACGGATGGCAGAAGGGGGATCCGGTGGCAGAAGGGGAACCATCAGGAGGGCAACCATCAGGAGGGGCTCCCGAGCGGCGCCCCAGGTGTGGCGGGGCCGTGGTTTCGCTATGCAAAGCGGCCGCGGCCGCACCCCGACTCACGCCGCTGCTCGGGCGGCTCGGAGCGGCATCGAGGAATCCCTGCAGCGTGAAAATTCCCTGCTATTTATGAATTATTGTAGGGTTTTTTTGTGTGTGTGCATTTTGTTTTTGTTTGTTTGGGGTTTTTTAGGTTTGCTTGGTTTTTTTTTTTCAGCCCGGAGAAGACTGAGGGGATACTCCAGATTACGACAGAATCAATTTGGAAAAGAAAGACCATTGAGACCACCGAGTCCAATTTATGACTCAACACCACCACGTCAACCTGACACTGTGCCATGTCCAGTCTTTCCTTAAACATCTCCGGGTACAGTGACTCCACCACCCTCCCGGGAAGACCATTGCAATGTCTAATCGTTCCCGTGAAAAAATTCTTCCTAATGTCCGTCGCAGTCTACAGCTCCCTCACGAGGGGAAGCGGAGAGGCAGGTACCCATCTCTTTACTCTCGTGGCCAGTGAGAGGATTCGATGGCGAGTCAGGGGAGGTTTAGGTTGGATACCAGGAAGAGGTTTTTCACCGACAAGGTGGTTGGGCACTAAAACGGGCTCCCCAGGGAGGTAGTCACAGCACCAAGAAGTGTTCGGACAACGCTGTCAGGCACAAGGTTCGACTCTTAGAGTGTCCTGTGCAGGGCCAGGAGATCGAGTATCCTCTGTGGGTCTCTGCCAATTTGGGATTTTCTGTGATTCTGTATAATCTCCTTTCCAGCACTACGACCCCTCCCCCGCCCCTCGGGAGGCGGGAACGAGCGACGACAGGGACAAAGGGCCGCGTTCCCTTTAAAGCCGCCCCCCGCCGCCTCACGTGAGCGGCCCGGGGCGGGCGTTCCGAGCCGCGTCAGTTCCGCCTGTGCTGCGCTGCAGAGGAGCCACGCGCGGAGCAGGACGTGAGTGTTGGGTCCCCTCGCGCGCCCCCGCCACGCCGCCATTTTCTCCCGCGCGCCCCTTCCCACGGACCCTGCTGCTGCACCTCCCGGCCCTATCGGAGCAGCCGCGGCCGGGTGGCGCCGAGGCGAGGCTTCCCCTTGTTCCTCGAGAGCCCGCGGTGCTCAGCGGGAGGGATACCCCGCTGTGCAGCGGGAAGACCGAGCCGCCGCTGCCGAGGGGGAGCTGCCATGTTGGGGGGTAAAGTCTGGTAGAGGGAGAAGATGGCGCCCGGCCGCGGTCCCCCCCGCGCCGGGAGCATACCCGGCCCGCCGGCGACCCGTGCCCCGCTGGTTTCCTTGCTGTCCTTTTCCTCCGCCCCCCCACGGGTAACCCGCAGTCCATTCGCTGCCACCCTGCCCCGGGAAGACTTGGGCGTTCTCGGCCTCCCACCCTCTCGCCCCCATCCTTATTCGGGTCTCGACTCTTCCTCGGGGGGCGACACGAGCCGTGGAAAAGAGGAATAGGGGAGGAAAATGGCGGCTGGGATCCGCCTACCTGGAGTTCCCGGCTCGTCTTCTTACCTTTCTCCGTTTTCCTTTGGCCTGGCTTATCCCGTCCCCCTCGCCGGCGCTGCGGTGTCTCCTCACGCTCAGCTCTCCCCGGGGGGCATCCACCACCCCACGTACCCATTTCCTCCAGTTTCCGCCCATACTTTCCTCCATATTGTCCCTTTATCCTTTACATGCGGACCCCGGGGTCATCCCCCGAAACACCGTTGGCTCACCGACTCACTGTCATCCGTTTGCTTATTTTCACATTGTCCCATTCCAGTGCACCTCTACCTCCATCCTAGAGCGTGGCTTGTGTGTGCTTCCTCACACCCTGTCTCCTGGGCAGTGCTGCAGCTTTCGACCTTGTGCTACAAGCTATTACCACAGGTTTTGCCCTACTTTAGAACCACATTGATCCATTAGCATTATTTGGACTCTGGTTTGGTTGTTTCGTTTTGTTGGTTTGCTTTGTTTTGTTTTTTTTTTTTAATTTGCATATGTAGGGTTTTTTTCACTGTCCGTTTAAGAACGCTGTTACTCCTCTTTTCTTTCCTAAGATACTCTGTAATATTTTGGCCTTTCCTAGCTAAGGTTTGTATTGTACAGTTTCAGGGATGCTTAATTTTATTCTGAAAGAACAAATGAACTGTGTATTTGTTACAGAGAGTTTCTAGCAAGCAGGGAAGATGTGTAACCGCTATATCTAACCACATGTTTGCATACCAGGGTGATGTGCAAGGACACCTGGCAGCACGCATTCAAGGAATGCTGAATGTCCGCTTGTCTAGCAAGTTAATAGTCACCAGTGACTGATGTTTTGAAGTTGCAGTGAAAATATTAATTGCAGTGCTGTAGTTCTCTGTAACTGACGTGTATTTCAGACTGTTAGATTATAGGCGGGAGCTCAAGTGTCACCTATGTGACAACTGTGCAGCATGTTGCTTGCAAATCCAGCTCGGTGAAATGCCCACGTCAGAGTACAGATATTGCTAGAGTGTTAATAATTGATATTTGTGGATGTAGTAGAAAGGATTCAGCTGGAGGGCAGTATTGTATTGTGTATTTTACATTGTGGGTTTTGCCATGTCTAGGCTTATATGAAAATTGTGAAAAATCATTCTGCTGTAGACAGTTCAGAAGCCAAATCACTGCATTTAATGTGGTCTAAATGTGTTTTAATGCACTTGCAGCAAAAAGAGGAAGAGATACAAGATGGAAGAGTGCTTGATATTGCATCTGCAGTGCGTATTAAAGTTTAAATGAAAAGGCAGGAAAATATTTAGGAGGGCTTAAAGAAGATGAGCCAGTACAAACAGGTTTGAAGATCGCTTTCAAGCCAAAATGGAATGTCATTCCTTATACAGTGTTCTCATGTTATTTTTCTTTTCCCAGAATGCCTAAATCAAAGGAACTTGTATCTTCAAGCTCATCTGCCAGTGATTCAGATAGTGAAGTTGACAAAAAGGTGAACAATATATGCAGTTCATTACTGTATTAACTCTTTGGTTTCAGACTCGGGTTAAGGAATTAGGGGAGCATTATGTCACAACATACATGTCATTCTGTATGATTTATCAGACACTTTAAGAAACTTTCTCTTCCACCCACCCATCTCAACAACTACAACAACAAAAACCGAACAACCCACCTTCCAGCTGTGGGTTCATTGCATAATTTTTGCCCTGAAGGAAAGCTTTTTTCTTTAGTTGATCTTTGTTTTCTTTATGCCATTCCATATGATAATCACAAATTCCCTGTGATTCTTTGCTGCTTTGTGGCAAGCTTCTGAAGGCTTCTATATCAACTGCCCTGGTGGCAAGAATTTGGACTTGAGAACATGCCTACAGCCACCTGCTGACATTTTAGTATCTAGATTACTTCTCCATAACAAAAATCTGCACTTGCCCTATGCTCCTGGTATCATTTGCTTATCTTGTTTGCATGGGTTTTTTTCTGTTTTTCATTTTCTTTTATTTGGTGTTAAACTGTCTGCTAGTTTCTCACTTAAAAGCTGAGCCAACCTGAATGTCTTTGAATTGATAAATTTTAAGACAGCTGTATTAAATGTATAAATCAAATGTTCCCATTTAATTTAAATAGTTATTCAAGTTGAAGTTTGTATAGCTGTACCAATAATTTTGAACAAAATCAGAAAAAAACTAGTTAATTTATCTTTTTTAAGAAATGCTAGGTGGTAACACAGACACCAGGTCTTTTAATGTAGTACAGTACATGAAGAGGTCTGGTCTCCTATTTTCACATGAGTAGAAATACTAACTTTGTAGCTTCCCTGGGTAATCTGATTTACAGGTGATACTGTCTGAATGCTTTAAAAAGTCTCATAATTTATCATTCTGTGGGCAGTGATTAGATGCTTATTTAAAAAAAAACAATGGTCTGATAGAAATGGTTTCCAGATTCTTTATTCGTTACATCGGCTGTGTGGTTTTTTTGTGAGGTGTAGCAAGCTGTTCTGTACCTTTCATTCTGTTTAGTGGAGAAGAGGGTACCATTTCCATCAGACTTAAATTTTTTATTAAAATTACTGAACTGACAGTGTTACTGTGCAGAAAGAGAAGGATTTCTGAAATGTATTTTGATGGGATTAAATTCTCTTTAAAACCAATGTATTACTTTAATGAGAACAGAATTAGGCTCATTTTGGAATTTTAAAATTCCAGTCTAAAAGTATAGTATTGGATTCCTGCCTTCACAGCAAGAAAGTGATAAAGTGCATTGCTTGTTAGTAGGCTGTGACATACCATGTAAACTTATCTGTAGCATACAGAGTGATTGTGGCTCATGCTTTTCTTTTTTTGTTTTGCTCCAAGGCAAAGCGGAAAAAGCAAGTAACTCCAGAAAAACCTGTCAAGAAACAAAAGACTGGTGAAAGTTCAAAAGGTGCAGCTTCTTCTAAGCAAAGCAGTAACAGAGATGAGAATATGTTTCAGGTAAAACTGATAACTCGTAGAGCCTGATTTAAAGTGACATTACATCATAGGTTGTATAGATTTTATGAGGTGATACGAACTTCTTGACAGTCTAGTGCTTGGCCTCCTGAATCCTTGGCCTCAGAGGATTACTATGCTGGCATTCAGATGAGATGCTCAGAAAAGCATGGTTGGGTTTCATCAGGGTAAAAGAATCTGAGTTGTATCAATTGATCTCATTCTTATGACTTTGCTCCTGGTAGCTCTGGGTAGTCATTTTGCCAGTAAATGCAGCACTTACCATCAGTATATGTTAAATACTAGATTGGGTTTGTCTCTACATGGAAATGTTTTTTGAATTAGGGCTCTTGAAAAAAAATGTTCTTGGACACCGAAGTCTGGACTCTTCGTTCCTATTTAACTAGGTCAAGGGCATCTTGGCCTCCTGTGTTATGACAGCAGATTGGAATAAATTTTGTTTGTTCCTTTATGTTATGATGTAGGGTCTGATTACTGAACATCCATAAAGATAGTAACTTGTGGTATTGCCTTGTTTTTAAGATGGGATGAATGTCTATTTTTCAATAGAAAGATGCATTTGTGAATTCAGGGTATTGCAGTTTGAGGGTTAGCCAAGGCAGTAGCAGTGTGTGAGAGAGCTGTTACACAGCTCAGAATTAGCTGTTTTGGGAATGTGAATCAAGATCTTTCAAAAGTCTCTGACTAGCTGGCTGGAAAGGAACTTAAATTCTTGAGGCTTTGATTCTCAGGTTTGTGAAAGGGTATGGGGAAGGTGCCTAATGAGGTGACCCAAGCACAGAGTGATGTAAATGAAATGGTTCTGGGCTGTAGCCATGAGAAGTAATACAGGGGAGGAAAAGTCTGTTCTAGAGAGAAGACCTGCTTAACTGATACTGTGATATTGTGGCAGTTACTTTTAATGCCTGAATTCTTATTTTTCCAATTATGTTTAGGAGGGGGAGCTTAATTTGAAGTCTGATGCTGAACTTCTGTATTGAAGGAAGTGTATAATCTTTTTAGTTCTGCTTGGGCATGCTTTGAACCATGTAGGAAGAATGAAATAGTGAATTCTACAACTTATGACGTGAACTGCACGTAGAATTCTAAAGAGCTATGTATAAACTTAATGCTATGTTTTTAGTAAGTTCATAAATTCCAGTTGCTATGGTTATACTAAGTTCAGAAATTCCAGCCTTGGAGAATACTAAAAGTTTTAGTGTTCCCCTGATGCAGAAACACACCCAGACCCTTTCAAATAAAAGTGAAAGTATGCATGATCTGGTTTCTTGAAACCGCTTTGACCTAAGATAATAAGAAGTTACTAAAAACAGACAGTAGAGGATTCATATTACTCTGACAAGAACAGGGGTTTTCTGGTGTTGAGTAGCATAAGGATCTTTGAATATCACCTTGACCTAAAATATCAGTGTTACCCAGTCTGTGCCTGCCTTTGAAGTAATCAACAATAAAATATTTTTTAGATCACTCACTGTGTTATGGTGAAGCACTGTCAGTTTTTGTAGTCTAATAGTAACTAATGTGCAAATGTTGGAGTATAGAAATACAACCACAGTAGGTCTGAGGATACTCCCCCTTTTTCCCCTCTACCTAGGAGGGTGTGCTCGTTAATTTTTTAGATGTAGTTTTGTTTGTTCTAGGCCTCTTGGTGATACTATAAACCCTTCTGGAGAGTTTCTCTCTCACAGCAGTAAAATGATCTCTGATGTGGAAGTGACTTTGCAGTATAGCTTTACAAGAGTGGCTTCAGCTGATGAAAATCAGGCTGTAAAGCATTCATAGGATAGTCACAAGTTCTATGGTGTCCATATTGTGTGTGGGAGTGGCTGCAAATGATGTGGAACCAAGAGTCTTCTTGTTCTACACCCTCAGGCTGTGTTCTTGATGCATACAGATTCCTTTAGTATAGAGCTCATTGTGACTGCTGTATTCAGAAGGTTCATAATTTTCATAAAGATCTACATTTTTTGTATTTTTGTTTGAGATTATTGGTGTAATTTTTTTTTGCAACTGCTTACAAAGAAAAGTGTTAATGTAAGTAGAACACTTCTTGTTTAATGTAAGAGACAAGTCGTATTTTATGTATTTGCATGTCTTGGCCTTATTAGGTTTTATAGGGAACCTAGTATACTCTGCAGCTTGAAGGATTTGTATGCTGCTAGGTTGCAGAAATTTGTTACTCCCATGTGTGATGTATTACTCGAGGCCCTAAGGATAGGCATTACTTGTGTTAATGTGAAAGGGTTTAGCCTTGATGCAGTAGATTCCTGTCTGTGGCTTCAAGCCAAACTGAGCTCTGCACCATGTGCTTTGGTTGGTTTGACTAATCCTATCATCTACCTATGCCTGATTTGGATAAGGTTTGTCAGGATTCATTAATGACTACCCAGAGCAGAACCACACTGCATGATCATGCATTTAACTGAAATTGCTACTTCAGAAGTTGTCTCTGTGTTGTACTTTCCAACTCCCAAAGTTTGGGGTTTGTTTTTTTTTCTTGTTTATTTGTTTGTTTGCTTTTTTGAATTTTCATCATATTTGGGTTTTGGCTTGTGAGAAGCAAGTTCTTTGATTTTTCCAGTTTAATTTCTCAGTGTTGTTATCATAGGCTCCTGAAAGAAGGTAGACATAGAAATTTATGATTCCTGAAACTATGATTGGTTTAGCACACTAATTATGAAACTTAGGTGGTCACTGATGCATTTCACAATTTGCTTTGTTGCAGATGTCACTGTTTACAGGAGTCTTGTCCTCCTTACATATAGTTATTGGCTAGGGAAGAGAGGTTTTTTTGCTATTTATGCTTGCTCTGTGAGTGCACAGTTTAATCCAGAAAAACTGAAAATAGGAAAAAGGATGAAAAAGTTGATTGCTGAAACTCACACAGGAATTTAGTTGCATGTCTCAGAAAGGAACAGAGGTACAGTTCAGTGCTTTTTATTCTAAGAAACAGAAACCTGGAAATAATGGTTTTAATGTTTACTGATTTATTATACTACAATAGAGTAGTGTAATCTAAGGATCTCTACTATTTAATAAAAAGTATATGAACTTCTCTGTGAAGGTTGAACTGCACTAGGTACTTTTCTATAAATCATGATGACTATCTTGGTTTAACCCCAGCCAGCAGCCAAGCCCCAGGCAGCCACTCGCTCACACCCCCACCAGTGAGGGCAATTGGAAGGGTAAAAGCTGGAAAACTGAAAGACATTTTCATAGGGAATGCAAAAGCCACACAAAACAAGGAGTTAATTAATCACTTCCAATGGGCAGGCAGGAGTTCAGCCATCTCCAGGAGAGCAGTACCCATCACATCCAAGTGTCACTTGGGAAGACAAATGTCATCACGCCAAACATGTCCCCTTCCCTCTTCTTCCCTGCACTTTATATCCTGAACAAGATGTCACATGGTCTGGAATGGCCCTTTGGTCACTTGGGGTCACCTCTCCTGGCTGTGTCTCCTCCCGGTCTCCCAAGCACCCCCAGCTTCCCTGCCAGCATGGCAGTGTGAGAAGCAGGAAGGGCCTTGGCTCTGTGTAAGCTCTGCTCAGCAGTAACTAAAACATCTCTGTGTTCAGCACAAAGCCAGGACACAGCCCCATATCAGCCAACGTGAAGAAAACTAATTCCTCCCAGTACAGCAACCCTTGGAATGCTGCTCTGGTTATAGAGATACAAAAATACCTTCAATCATTGAAATTAATGTTATCAGCAGGTGCATGAAAAAAGTATTGTTCAGAAATGAACCTGTACGAGAGTTACAGATAGATAAGTATCAAAGGACATAAATTTATGTAACTAGTTAAGTATTTAAAAATTACAGTAGTGGCAACTTTTATATAGAGTTCAACTAAATATCTGAAATTTAATGGCAACATTCATGTAAAATCTAGATGTAATGTGAAATCTTAATTTCAGCATTTACATAGAGAATTACTTTTATCTAAGGTAGACTTAATGATCAAGTGAATGTGAAGTGTTCTTGCCCCTCACCTTATTGTAGTTGGATTAAGAGATACAGTCTTTTCTTTTCCTTGATAATCACATTCTAAACATTTTTACTGTATTTGCAGCTGTAATCTGCTATATTGAAATAGATTTTATTTCTTACAACTAATCAGGAATTATTTGGCAAGGTACTAATATACTTCAGTAGCCATGGAAAAAAAATGGTGCTGCAGAGTGCTCCTGATTGAAGCTGTTCCTGGAGGTAACCTTAAAAGTTACTGGAGTGTTAAAGGGTAAAACCAAGAAATGTTTTCCATGTAGGCTATTTAGGATATTTTTTGCCAGGAGTGCAGATGGACTTGGGCATGGTACCAGGTTTGATCTGAAAGATCTAAGCTGCCATAACATTATACTTTTATTTTTGAGTTTTAAATTTATATTGTATTTAAATTTGTATTGTAATTATTAAATAAAAGTTCTGTCTTATGAACAGTAATGTCTTCTTAATTTTAAAGGATGCTTTGAAGTAGGAGAAGTGCTTCAGACTTAGGTTATCTAAAAAGTCCTAGTTGTTTTAAAATCAATTTTAGATGTCATATAGCATCTGCAGAAGAAGAAAAATTCATTTAAGTAAAGATAATGTATTTATGTTTCTATCTATGTTGTGAAATGAGAGCATATGACTTAAACATCTGTGAATTATTCTTGTTGATTGGAGTTCTTAATTCTTTTTTGTCAAACTTAAACCTAGTGGTTCTGGGCCAGAAGTGTAGGGCCCATCCTTAAATTGTATCAAAATACAACATGTAGAGATAAAAGAAGTTGAAGTATAGTGTTTTACCAGGAAGGAATATTTTATTTAAAAATTATTTACTTTAGAATCTATTCTTTTGTTATATAAAGTATATCCAGGAAGTACATGCAGAATTCAAGGGATTTCTTAGAATTGCAAGAAATTTGTTTTTTATCGTATTTTAATTATCTAGTTTTTGGTTCTCAAATTCAACCTTGTACTTGGAATTCATATGAATAGATAGTTTTTTTATCATATTTGGAAAGATATTAAATAAGCCCAAACATGTAGTGTAGTTGGTAGTATGCATAGTTGATAGTATGATTCTTCCCCAGCTTCTGCCCACTCCACCCCCCAAAAATAGAGATGTCCTTGTAATTCGATTATGACACTGGTTTGAAAATTACGGAATTCCAGAATCCAAGTTCCAAAATTTCATACTGTGCTACATGCTGGTAAACTTAAAATATTTGACTGGTTTTTTTTGAAGACCTACCTTTGAGGTACCAGTGAGGACTTGGGAGTGGCCATGGGACAGTTGGTGGTGGCTAGCTTCACTTCCATCTGTAATTACTGTGTTAAAAAAAAAAAAGGGGAAGGTATCCCACATGAACATCTAATTTGCTTTCTGTACTTGTTGAATGGACTAAAGTTTCGTTTTGGGAGTAGTGTTCCCTTTTTCTTCCTTTGTTTAGAACTGTTGCAAAGAAAGGAAATCTTTTTTTGTCAGAAAACAGTAAGTTTATGACTTGCTAGATGGAAGCATGTAAAGAATACAGGTATTTTTATTCTTGGAGAGCTGCTTTTGCATTGAGCATTGCCTGCTCAATCAGTTTTAAGTCGTTACTTATTAGCCTACTGACTACTCTGAATTAAGCTTTTAATCTAGTTGTTTCTGTGGTGTCTAAAATAAGCTGCAGTGTCACATGTCAAGAGTCTAATGCTGCTGGGGAAAGTGAATGCTCTAATATGTAAAATACCTAATAGACCATTATATGTGTTTTGACAGATTGGCAAAATGAGGTATGTCAGTGTTCGGGACTTTAAAGGGAAAGTCTTAATTGATATTAGAGAATATTGGATGGATCAAGAAGGTGAAATGAAGCCTGGCAGAAAAGGTATTGTTCTGCTTCATGTTACTTTGTATTAAAACATGGTTTGCATTGTCCAGTAGAACTTCCTATATCATATTTTTCTACTTTGTTGCTACATGATACTTTATGAGTATATTTTTTACTTTTTATTTTTTACTTTCTTATTACAAAGAATTAGTTTTATCTGTAGATTATGGATAAAAGTGTGTTTTTGGCCTGAGTCTGTTTTCCTAAAGAGATCCTCCAGGCTTTATGTAAAGCAAGGTGTCAAATACAAGCAAATTTGGTAGGGGTGTTACAAACGTGCTTATACCATAGCCATATCTTCCGTCCCGTTAGCTGATAAACATAATGAACCAACTTTCTTCTTATGGTTGGTTTTCTTATTTCAGAGTTAATTGAAAATATTTAATCATTCTTATAAGTTTCAAATTTTGTTAAACCAACCATGTCCTTCTGTTTCTACTGTATTTTAGATTAAAATTACCTAAACATTTAATTTGACTAATTATGAAAAAATATTGTTAAAAAAGATTTAGTCGAGGAGAAAATATCTCAAGTGTCCCAAGTTGTAATCTATAGCACAACACACTTCCTTTGTACTTCCAGCTGATACTTGCACAGTTGCTTTTCATGGCAAGGCTTCACTGTGAACTATTTCCAGAACTTGCACATCTCAAGATGGGGATTGTAGTAGGGCAGTTGCTGTAGTGGTGCTATGCTTAATGTTACATTGCTTCTCTTTGAAAAGCCTAAATTTATCCATTTTTGTGTAGCATCAGTGAAATGTATGTATAAAATGTTCTGCCCTGCAGATTCATAGGACCACAGAATGGTTTGGGTTAGAAGGGACCTTGAAGATCGTCTTGTTCAACCCTACTCACTCCCTACTGTGGGCGGGGACACCTTCCACTAGACCAGGTTGCTCAGAGCCTCATCCAGCCTGGCCTTGAGCACTTCCAGACTTCAGGGGTGGGACATTTGCAGCTTCTCTGGGCAACCTTTGCCAGTGCATCATCACACAGTAAAGAATTTCTTCCTGATTCCCAATCTAAATCTACCCACTTCCAGTTTAAAGTCATTCCTCCCTGTCCTGTCAATACATGCTGTTGCAAAAAGTCCTTCCCCAGCCTCATGTACTGGCAGTCTCCTAAGTTTGAAGTTTGAAGAAATGTAATGTGTAATCACCATAGTTTGTTACATTCTTTCGGTGTCTTCAGGAGCAATTCAGTAAACAGTCATTTAGGAAATCTGAGAAGCATTTTCAGCATTTCTTGAATAACCACTGAGAAGAGGTTTGCCTGAAGAGGTATACTGATGCTCAACAGGAGAATTGCTGTTTTTTGATTTGTTGCTAGTTGATGGAAAAGGTTACTTCTAAGGACTTTGTTGTGTGTTTTAGGGTAGAATGCAATAGTATATGCACTTTGAATGGCAAACTACGACAGGATTTGATGGGAGGGCCAAGTGACAAAAATGACATGATGTAGATAGAAGTGTTAATCAATGCAGCAAAAGAGTCTTAATGTTGTTATGATAAAGTTAAGACTGATACACTGTGAGTCTAATACTTCCTTGATGCACTCATAGGCTGCTCATCTAGCTACCCTGAAACCAGGATAATAAGCAGTCAAAATTTTATAATAAAAATAAACCCAGCATGTCTCAAGCAGCAGGTCTGAATTTTGTTTGGTTCATTTGGTCTGTGGTTGAGGGACGTCTTCACGGCGTTTAAGTCCCCTAATAATCGTTAGCAGACTTGACCTGTTTTCAGATGAAACCTGCCCTCCAGAGGCTGGTGAAAGACTGCTTAATGAAGCTCCATGTACACTGCTTGCTGCTTAAAGTTGTGGTGGTTCTCTGATAAGACAGTGATGGTATAGAAAAGAAAATGCTGTGGTCTCCAAAAATGTTCTCCAAAAATTCAAAGTTTCAGCTGTTTTCAGGTCTTGCTCCACCTTCAGGGGGAGAGCAATGAAGGAGAAGTATCACTCGGAGGGGAGAGTGGGAGTAGTTAGTGGAAGAGCTTGACAGGAGAAAGTATGAGAGGACTGGGAGCCTGCACTTTCCACAGAGTGGGTGTAGAAATTTTAGGGTAAGAGTGCGTAGACCAAAGTTCAAATGAAACATGCCTGTACTCAAGCTTGAGAGGAAGTTGAGATCAAATTTAGAAGTGAAATGATGGGTTGTGGGAGTTCTGAATGATTATTGGTTGAATGTCACTAGAAACTATAGAGAACTTGAAGTAAAAAGTAACTTTGCTGTTGGTTCGTGAGTGCTAGGGAGTGATAGTCTCTCCAAAAGATTACTTTCAGCATCTGTTATTTACAGTGCTTTAAGAAACAAAAGTGGGAAAAGCCAGAATTAAGGTACTTGAGAAGTGCACAGCAGACCTGTCTTCATAGGTACAGCTTTTAGGAACCAACAGGAGTACAAATGATTTCCTACTTATCAGCCAGGGCTTTTGTACTGCATTCTGTCAAGCCCAGAGTTGTATTTCATTTCTTGTGTTTAGCCTAGTACTTGTAAAATTATTTGTTAAACACATTTTCTTTGTAAATGTGTCTAGAGATAACTTCAGGTTAAGTTGAAGTGTTGGAAGTGTGTAGTTTCACTTTGTAACCAAGACAGTTGTTGAAGTAACTCAAGTATTGATATTATAACATAGGTGTTGTGTATGAAAGCAGCCTTTATAATAATTGCAGAAGATCCTGCACCACAATTTTTTTTGTCTTAAGTGTTTATTTTTAATGCTTTTCAGGTATTTCTTTAAATCCAGAACAGTGGAACCAGCTGAAGGAACAGATTTCTGATATTGATGATGCAGTAAGAAAACTCTAAAGGCAGAGCCATACAAAAACTTTTATCATTTAGTTGTATTAAGCAGTCTTTTTACATTGGCTTTAGTTTTCTAAAATATTGTTTTCCAAGCTATTGTATATTTGGATTGCAAAACAATTTGTAAGATGAATACTTTTTTTATGTGCATTAAAAGTGTATTCTGAGTGAGGCTATTTGTGTATACTTTACTAAAAGGAATTGTGTTGCTTTCACCCCATGGTGTTAAATAAACAAATCAAGTAATATGTAAAGCATACTTGTTTATGGCCTTTTGATTGAAGGTGTTTGCTGATAAGGCCACCTAATAGCTTTAGTCATTGTTTTAATTTCAGTTTAGTTTACAGTTAATATGAATTTATTTTCTGAGGGGATTTCTTAAAATGTCTCAGTTGCATTTTTTCTTTTATTCCATTTTCTTTGGTATTGCCCTGAAGCTTTCTGCTTTAAGACTTGATACAAACAGTGAATACTTGGAAAAACAGATTTTTGTAGATAATTTTCAATACTGTATTTGCTAATTTACCCTTTTATTCAGATGTAAACAGTCTTTAATATATAGCTTTTTCTGCATTACTTGCATGAAGGATTATGCTAAACAATAACACTTGAACACAAAACACGTGCTCTCTCTTCCCATTTTTCTATAGCTTGCTTGACCTAGAAAATACAGGTAGCCTTCTTTCTTGGTCTTTAGATGTGAAGCATAAACTTTAACAGTAATAGACATATACCTCAGAATAATTCAGTATTTAAAAGCTCCAAATGTGGTTATTAGTACACTCTTCAAGGTTTGCATTAAATTCATTCTGGAATACATACTGATCAGTTATTCCATAGAAAAGGTGTGGTTTATCTGGCTGTAGGGTTTTTGTTCATTTGAAAGTATTGCATAAACCATGATGCTTAAGTTAGACTATAACACAGGTTAAACAATCAAAACAGGGTTAAAACTGCTGCAGCCAAAATGTCTGTCATGTTTCTGCCCTGTCCCTGCTGCCTGCCCAGGCCACCGAACTCAGGTTGCTTTCTGTGGCTCACGTGTGCACAGCTGGTTTATCTTTGTGCAGAAGGCGCTTAGTGTGCACAGGGAAGCTTACCCAGTACACGGTGGACCATGACCCAGCGAGCTTGGCTGGTCAGCCCCGCTACCTCCTGGACAGAAAAGCCTCTGCCCCGTGGAAGCTCTGTTACACAAGATGCTGCCCTAGAGGAAGGGATTCTGAGTCACAAACAATGGGAAGGAGAAGAGCGAGAATGTGATGGATAACTCGGAGATGTAAAAAGGGCACACCAGGATGGAAGTTAATGGTGCAAGATAGAAGTTTGCTGGCAAAAAATAACTGCAGTGAAGAAATTGAAGCAGAATTGGAGGAGTTCGTTTTCTGAAATAATTAAGCAAAGCAAGAAGATAAAAAAACTTTATGAAAAAGGACATTTCAATTAGTGAATGTCCAACTTAATTAGTGTAATTTTCCCATTTAATGATAACATAGTCTCTAAATTTTGTATAGATAAACAAGATTTACTGTTTAGTTACAGAACATTTTGATATAGTTGTTTATATTATAATCATGTCTGCAAGTGCCATATTCTGTCTATGTGCTGCAGAGTTCATAATGCAAATAGGTATTAAAGGCTGAGGAAGAGGGACTTCATCAAATTAAGTGCATGTTGTTTAGTTAAAATATGTCACATATCTTCACTTGCTTTTTAACTTGCCCATTGTTGACATATTACAAATAAAATTAAGATCTGTTTTTGTATGGCTCAAGAAATCATAAATATTTAAGAACTGCTTAGTAGCAGGGTGAATAAAAGGGTGAAGAGATGTTTGTGGTAGCAGATGTAGTTTTGGGCGCAGCATTCTTTTTTGAGTGACTCTTAACAACATATAGGGCTATTTGGACCAAATACAATAAATATGAAATAGCTGCTAAAATTTCACAGATGAGTGAATGAAATAAATTGCTTCAGATCACTATAGACAGGTTCTAGGTGTTTTTTATTGCAATCTATATAATAGGATTTTATTCCTTTAAGTCTGAAATTTTGCAACAGATTTCATGTGTTTTACCTCAGATCTTTGAAGTGGCTACTTAAAAGTGCATGGTTATGTTATATGGAAGATTGCCTCACTTAGATTGCTGTTCTAATAGGTGAATTATGTTCAGGAGAGTGGGAAATTAAAATCATTCATTTAGGGAGAGTAAGTGAAAAGGTTTAATACAGCGATTAGTTTTCGTGTGGAAATTGATGGCAGAGAAATTCAAAGAAATTAGTATTTGTTAGACATGAACTATGACTTAGTAGTATCAAAAGATTCATGGATGAATTCAAAATGGGATGACTTCATCAGATGACTGATGTGCTTTTAAGATGGTAATATGCAAGTAACCTCAAGTGTGACACATTCAGTATTATTTTGAAATAAATGCTAGTGATTTTTCATGTAATCATCTGTAGCTTCTCTAATTTGAGAAGAAAATTCAAATCTTTTTTGAATAAAGATTATTTTTTGCAGACAGTGTTAGCTAGGGTATGTGTAGAAGTGTCCATGGAAGAAAATTGTGCATGTTTGACAAGGCTGTCTAATGTGAGATAAAAGCACTGCTCCCTTTGCCATTTAGGTGACAAAAGATCTGATTCTTAGTGTTTATGCAGGGCATATTAGCAATATGTTTTATAAATTAGGCCTACTGTGGAACCTAGGGGAAAAAAAAACACATCACAGAGCTGTGTGTGTGATAATCAAACTGTCATGTACCATGTTGCTCATATGTAGAGATGCTCATATTGAAAATAAACAAATGCAGTACTAATTTTGCTATTTCTTCTAAAGAAAATGGCTCTGGTTATGTATGTATGTGATTTGTTAGTAAAATGAGATTGGTGATTGTAAATCTGGTATTGTTAGCCATGTGGAATGTTTCCTGTTTTGCTCTGGTGATGTCCAAAGCAGAGAGGCCACTGGAAATATGAGCCCTTCAACTGTAATACCTTAATGTTCAAAAAAAACCAGTTAAATGGCATATGTGTAATAACAATCTGAACACTTGAAAATAAAAAAAATACTTCTGTTGACAGAGTGTTATTTTTAATAGAAAATTAGCTTTACTATTATGTTATGGTACCTGCTGTTTGTTTCTTGCAACTGTTGTAATTTGGAAATTTGAAAACTTCATAATTTTCTATTTGGTCTGTATTTGCGGGTGAGAAACTAGCTCAGAGGGATAGAAATTTTTTACTAGGATAAGAAGAAAAACTATTATGTAAATACAGAAGCAGTAGGTGGAAACACATTTTCAAGCATCGGCTAGGAGGAAGGTGCCTGGTAAGTTGTTACTGTTGTGAGATTGGCTGATTATCTTTTTTCAGTGGAGTTTGTCTTTGACTGTAAATGCCACAGATAAGGTAGAAAAATCTCATGTATTTATTATTGTTGGTTAGTTATGTCTGCATAGGTTTCTTTAGGAAGGTTATTTATTTTTCACATACTTGAAGTTACTGATTTTTTGGGAGTAGATTAATTAGTGGTTTGTAGCCTTGAACCTAGCAGTCTTTAAGTAATTTTGAGTAGACCAGCCTCAGAAACAGAAGTTACTCTGACTCAAAAGGAAGAAATGCCATGAGGGTTGATGGAAGGTCACCACGTCCTCCCTAATCTTCATTCACTGCCCTCCCCTTGCCGATGGGCTTAATCTTTGTAGCTCCAGGAACTGTGCATGGAAGAGCACTCCAGTAGGCACTGTTTTTCCTGTCTTGAATCAAAGCTGTGTGTCCCCTGCTCGCAGTTGAAAGTGTGAAATCATCTGCTGAGGAACTGGAGTAAATGCTCTGGCTTAATGAAGGTTTATCAGGGAAGCTTAATTCTGCTGTCATGTGAACAGGACGTGTTACCAGTCATGGGGAAACTTTAAGAGCCTAGCATCTGTGCTCTTGGTATTGCATTTTATTTAACAAAAATATAAAAACTTTTTATAAGATCTGCCCAGTTTGGTTTTTGTGGTACTTCCATTTTGGTTTCAGTGATTTCATATGCACATCATTGATCAGATATCGAGGTGGTGTTGAGGACTCAGGTTTGTAAGTTACCTGAAGGTACCTAGAAGGAGGTGGGCTCTCAATTCTAAAGGTTAAAGGAGCTTGCTGTAGAACTGAAATTTGGTGCAATTAACAGACTATTGTAGGAAATCTCTACCTGTATTTGATAAGGCTAAGTAAGAAAAACATGCCTGCTTGGTCAGCATGCCTAGTAGACTGCTGTTAATTATCAGCATCTGTTAACTATCAGCTTCTATTTTATTTGTGCAGGAATTAATGAGATGGAAACTGTTGAAGTAAAATGGTAAGATTTTACATAACCCTGTTACTTGTGTTATCTAAAAAAGCTGTTTCACATCTTCAGAAATTAAATGCTTTATACTTTCACTAATAGGTTAATGTGTCAGAATGATTTTTACACTGTTGAAAACAGCTCATTTCATCTTAGTTCATCTTAAACCTCGGTTTGTCTATTTACCAAAATATCATCACACCCCAGATCTGAGGGAGAGATGAATGACAGTATATTATGAACAAATTTGAGATTGTCATGACCCTAACAACAGGCTGCTTGAAATTAAAGCTAGGCAGTGTATATTGCGATAATACTTTTCAGTGTGTTTGTGGCATTGATTTTATGTAACCTTTAAAGGTTTTTGCTAGCTGTATCAATGTGAAAGGGCTTTGCTGTTTCTTCTGCTTTACATTTGCCATCCCTTAGTGAGATCAGCAGCTTCTTTTGTATTTCCTCTACTATTTATATTCTGACTGGAAGCATCCATCTGCCTTTTGGAACACAGATATCTGGCTAAACTCATGCTATCATAAAACAAGGAATATCTCAAAGGTATCCTAGTGGTACTGGGCAGACAGAGCTGCCTATTGATAATAAAGGTCAATTAACATGTCTACGTATATGTTTTAGCACTGTGATAAATTATACTTAAAACTGTTGAATTACTCATGCCAACATGCATACTTCTCAAAGGAAGTAATTTTCTTCCTACTTGGATTATTGTTTGTAGTGACGGTACTGGACAAATGCTTTTCCCGCTGAAGTGGTTGTGAACAGCTTGGAGAATATCAGTGAGATAGTTCCTGGGGGAAAAGCTATGAGAGCTGTCACATGGATGGATATCCTTGCCATAAGCCAGGGTATTTGTAATTGTAATGGTTTAATTAATGGAAAGAAAACCTGTTTGTGTGGGCTGCCTGAAAAGTCCCTAGAATAACCTGTAGTACATTACAGATTACAGATGTAGTAAGTTTTTTTGGTGATGTAAAGACTGCTCTTCTGTCCAGAGAAACCTTTGAACAATACTAATTTGCCATAGGTCTGTTTCTATATAACCAAATTTTTAGTTTTGTTTTTTTTTTTTTTTTTTTTTTAAATTTCAGAGATGTGTCAGTGTATGTGGTATAGCCCCCTTTCAGTAGTAGGAGAACTAGTAACTCTGATTGAATCATTCCTGTGCAGCTGGGGGGAGAAGGTGTATTACCTAATTTTCATACAGTAATTACTATGTTAATATTTAATAGTAGTGTGTCTTTCATTTATCCAAACAATTTGTTGTAA